ATATTTCTCGTGTATATATATATATATATATATATATATATATACACACAATATTCAAAGCTAATAATAAATACGGTTCCGCTTGAGAAATGTTGAGAAACGGCATAACCACGTACAATAACGCTTTCGATATTTACGATCAAAATGGCACGCCGCGTCCGCAGCAGCTAATCTTTATTTCTTGGAAAAAGCAATGCAATCGCGGGACTTTCACCTTAGGAATTTCCTGCCCGCACTTTACACTCATCGCGCCTTTAGTTATTTCGTGCTGTGGTTAGGGAAACATTCATCCACACAATACGACTGCAACGTTAATATTCATAAGTTCATGGGAATATCGATTTGGAAATAAGCAATGCGATTTCTCTTACCACTTTGTTGGAAGTTTGATAAAAAGTGTTGATACGTTAGAAAAAAAAAAATAGAAATTTTCTTTTCACTGCTCTTTTTAAGATTTTTAAAAAAAAGTATTTGATTTTTTTTAAATTCACCATACAAAACAATTAATCGAATATGTGAATAAAAATGAAAAATAAATTCGATATTTTTTCTTTAATATTCGAACTATTCTTGCAATTGATAAGTTCAAATTAAATTTCAAAATTTCAAAATAGGAAACCAAAAGCGGCCAATTAAGATCGAGAAGAACGATTTATCGAGCTTATTAAATGGCAATTTGGCAAGGATTGACAAACGGGAGCACTCGACCTGTTTCTTTTCGAAATGAATTCCAGATCACGTTTGTAGGTTCGATTAGTAGTATAATCGAAAGGATAAGCCGGATTCTCTATTTTCGATGATTTTGCAAAGCAAATGATTCAGTGATTAGATAAATTGCATTTGTGCGAGCACAAAGAGTCGCATTGCATCGATTAATTATGGAATTTGAACTGTGAATTTTGTATTTGCGATGTTCGATATAATTAAAGATTAAAGTCTTAATATGCTTTTGATAATCGATAAATAATTTTTATTTAAAAAAAAAAAAGAAATTATTAGAATTACAGAAATGACAGTTCTGTAGATTTGAAAGATAGTAGATTTATTCTACGAGTACTCGTGACGCATAGATTAAAATTGGTGAGTAATACTCGGGAGTACATAAAAGAGTAGATTTAAAATTTAGAGGATATTCTTCTCTTTGTATTCGAGATAAATTCAATTAACTCAAGGGCGAACACGTCATTGTCACATTATTCTTCGTAAAATCAATTATTGTATACACCGACACAATATATCACGCATCGCCAAGCGATTGTTTCTCTGCGAATGTGGCAGAACGACTGAAAAGGAAGAAATTTGAAAAAAGTTAGTTGTACGGTAAAATTTCGCATTTTACATTTTTCATCTATTAATTTCCAGTCGAAATCAATATCAATATCTGTACGAGAAAATGTAGAAAATTCAAGGCATAAAAAAAAAAAAAAGAAGGAAAAATATGTCACCGTTTCATTATTGAAATTCGAGCCGGGTCCTCGATCGAATTTGAAATTCCGAAGCGGTATGGAGGATGCAACGACGCGGGCCAAAGTAATTGAATCCAGCCCGCTATTTTTACGAACAACGGGCGTCTGTTAACGCGAACGATGCGGAGAATTTCCCGTGAAAATGCGACGAACACGAGGACATCTATCGGGAGAAAAATTGGAACGCGAAAAATTTTCAACGAACTACTTTCGTCCCGTTTTCGTGTTAATAATCGATCGAGATATGCGACAAATTAATTGCGATGCTTGATTCGTCAAGGTTTCAAAAAGAAATTATTTCGTGGGATAAATAGGACGTCGTTTGGTGACAAAGCTAAATTTACAATTAGAACGACCTTTCCTATATAACGTAATTTGAATTAGTGTCACGTCGGTTTTAGGTTAGGTTACCTTGAGTTGCGTTTATTCGCACGGTAAAACGAGCATCCGGTTTTACGAGGATTAAATAATTATTTTCGTCGAGGATACGTAGTTGATAGCGATAAGTGGCGCGAGAAAACGTTCGCAAATAAACGATATTCGTCGGTATTCGTCGAACTATTAAATAACTTCCCATAAATTCAATATTGTTTCAATATTCCACTGTGTAATATTCTCGTGGCTTATATATGAATTATATGAACCAGAATACCATTCGTTACCATTCGATTTAACTCTTTCGTTACTATAAATGACTATAATCGCTCTACATAAAATGCCACTGACGTACTACGATTGCCCATAGTTGCTCTGCATAAGATGTAGATACGTACTGTACATACGACGAACGATTGGAGTTTATTATACATCGAGTATCTTTCTTTTATCATTTTTCATGTAATATCATTATTAACAGTTCTTATTATCATACAATTATATTTTCAAAGTATAATTAAATATGAGTGCATTTAAAAGTTATAAATATCCTGTTTTACAGATATTTTTTTTTTCAATAAACATCTCGAAGCATTCGGATTGCAGTGAGGCGTAAACTCGATCGCTGACGATCTTTCTCGAGCACTGTCCACATTTTTGACGACGGAGAAATCGCCCGTAATGAAAGGATTAAAATTCGATCAAGAAATAAAGTAATAAAATTTCTTCTCGCCTCTACCGATAAATCTACAAATTTATAAAAACTTTTTCCTCTCTCTCTCTCTCTCTCTTTTTCTCTTTCTCTCTATCACCTATCCTGTAATGTTCCATGAATTCCATGGATTTTCGGCCGATCTCGGGGGGTATCCTAGGAGAGTGTGGAACCGCGCCGAAATT